AGATGAAAATTTCCAAAGTTACTATGTTTTATTATAAAAATAATCACGTGTTGCATTATTTATGATTGCCAGTGTATTAACTTCGAACTTGATGAGTAGTTGAAACGCCAAGGGAAAATGGGGGTATTGGTTTATCATTAATTGTTTAAATAATCAATGATAAACCAATGCCCCATTTTCCCTTGGCGTCACTCATATAACTAAGTTGGTTATTGTAATGCAATTCAAGAACAACTATGGCCATTATATTTTTATTAATCAAAATTAAAACGTAACGTATGAAGAGAATTATATCTGATATAGCAATGATTGGTTACTCTACCGGTAAACCTAACTTGACCCCATTAGTTAGTGATCTTTGATAATAGATGATCAATCCGAGTTTTCATTAAAGGTTGTCCTTTCGAATTACGTTTCAAAAATTTTTTCTTTGTTATTTTTCGATGAGTAAGATAAGCCTTTTGTTTCTGAATTCGCATTTCTTTTTCTTGTTTAATAGCCTTAATAATAATCATATTAATTATTTTTTTTTCTTCTTGCAAAGATAATTTAATGGAATACTGTACTACTAACTTCAATTTTAGCCTGTTTTTTATGTTGAAAATGGTCTCTTTCTTTTAGAAGTTTATAGAATGGATTTGGTTTAGGTCTATAAATTTAATTAAAACTATTAAAATTATTATCTGTAAATGATTTCGCTCACATGAAATTTATGTTACCTATGATTCGATTTGATCTTTTTATTATAATATATAATAATTAGCCTGTTACCACCATTATACAAGAACTACAAAATACGATTGAAAAAAAAAGTTATCAATTCACCTTTCCACTCTTCTTGGATTCTTCGGAAGAACCCTTATCACGTTTAATTAATTCTTCATGGTGATCATCTTCATCTAGGTTATCTTCGCTATCTGATATTTGTCTTTCCTGATTTGTATAATCCTCATTGATATCTGCTGACTTTTCGTCAAATATCTATCTCAACATTTAAATTTTTTTTAAATTTTTTAATTTATTTGCTTTTAATTACGTTAATTATATCAACCACCTCCATAAATTTAAATACCTGTTTGTAGAAGGAAGGCGTCTCCAATTCATGTTTTTCTTTCGATAAAGTTTTGTAAAAGCCTTTCTTCGTTTTTACTTTATGAACAAATTTCTTTTTTATCTTCTGAGCTATTTCATGGTGATTAATTAAAATTTTGTATATTTATAAAGACTACTCCACATTTTATTAATTGCCTTCCGTACGAAACCTTTATTATTTATCAAAAAATTATTAAACGTCTTTTTTCGTCTAGGTGGACTCATGTTTTATGATAAAAGTAAATACTAGGAATGCAAATAGATTTCAAGATATATTTGACAAAATGTTTTTAAATTACTATTATAAAAATTTAATATTATATAGTACAAGAAAAAAAAAAAAAAACGCTAAGACTAAATTAGAATGTATATCATGTGATATTAATGATGATACAGGAATGGTAAAATATGACAGAAGTGACGTATTACGATTAATATTAATTCATACTGATATTTATTATTCAAAATTTTAAAAATTTTAACATTCATCATGTTTTCATAAATCTTCCAAATATTCATATCCTTCTTCGATCTCTCCATCTTCTGTGCTTTTTGTCTCTGCTAAAATTTCCTTATCCGGGTCTATGTACGCTGTTATTTGCGTGGTTACCTGTCCTTGATATGGTATGTGTTCTGACTGTTCTTCCGTCTGTTCCATAAATTCGCTGGTTTGTTCCTCATATTCGCTTGCTTGTTCATCGTATTCACTACTATGTTCATCATAATCACTCAATACTTCATCATAATCATCATTATGATCCTGTACTTTGTATTGATTGTTTCTGCCTGTGTACTCTGTGGATGGTCCACCATAATCACTACTAGGTCCTTCATATTCGCTATTTTGTTCTCCATATTCTTCAACCGCATCAGGGTATTCATTAATCTGTCTCTCATACTCATCTGTTCGCTCACCATAGTCTTCCGGTTGTTCATCATATTCTTCAATAGGTTCATCATAGTCTTCCTCTGCATCTTCTTCTTCTGTTCGAACTCCATATTCTTCATTATTTTCTCCTCCATATTCCTGGCCTTTAAGAGGTTGTCGTTCGAATTCAATAGGTTTTTTATTTTCTCCAAATTCATCAGTTCGTTGATCATATAAATCTTCAATGTTTATTCCTTCAACTTTTTTAACTTCATTATTAAATTTTAAGGTTTCATTTTTCGTTATTATAGTTTTAGAAGTGGTAACCTCGACCTCTTCCATTCCTTCCTCTTCCTCTTCTATGTCAGGACTATTTGCTACTGATGATTCTATTTCACGTGGTGTATTATTATTATTGCTGTTCAGATTCTCCCCTGGTGTAGATACTGCAGATGTAAGAGAGGCTTGGCGAAGTAATGATGTTGCCTTTGCAAATGGTGGTCTCGAGAAACTTGAATCTGGTTCTGTCTCGGATGGTTGAGGAGTAGATGCCTCTGTTGGAGGTTGGATGATAGAAGCCGTTGGAGTCGGTGTGTCCTGGAATAAGTTAAAAATTAGCCCAATTAAAAATATATATTAATAATTTCATGTAATCAAACATTTATACTATTTTTTTTATACCTCACTATTAACTTGTTGACGAGTCGTTACTACAATACCACTTTCATCTGCGTCATCGAAGGTCAATTTCTTATCGGCTGAAATTGTAAAAATGTTTATAATAATTTTCTCTTGAAACTCAAAATTTTAAATTAATCAAGCCTACATTTTGTCCATTTTAATATCTCAAAGTTTTTTCCACCATTTGGATATTGCCATTTTTTAACCCTGAATAAGAAGGTTATTTATTAATTTTAAATTATTAAATATAAGTTAATTGATAAAATGCACACCAAGATTGAACTGGTTGTAATAATGCTCGTTTCAAACGATCGTGATCTGCAGCGTAGCCACGGAAGCCATGGTGTCGTGAGGGTCTGTTAGTTGACATTTTTTAGATTTTCCATTATTTTTTTTTTTTTTGACCTTAATTATTTGTGATACCTAGTACTAGATCTATTTCAGTATTAGTGTTGTAAGCTCATAGACAGAAATTCGTTTGATTGGCTGATGTAAATCAATTGCCCGGGTAACTTATTTATACACTTTAAAGTACTT